CGTTATTTTTTTTCATTTTTGCGATAAATGCTTATCGACGTGGTGTTCACGTCGCTCGCGGTTTGAGACAAAAGCATCTTGACGTGCGTGGCACGTCTTTTTAGCGCAAGTGGTTAAAGAAATTTTAAACGATATTCATTTTATGAACTCTTGATAACGTGACCTTCGAACTTCGACACCGGTTTCGAGCTTTGATGACAGATATATCAGACATGCACAGCTGTTTCCCTCTATGATGGAACGGACAGCCACGTCTGTTGCAGAGAGGTTTTCCTTCTTTACAATACATATTCTTTGATTCTAACCTCCATAGTACCATTTATGGTACCGCATGGTACCGGATTTAAACCCATTTTGTTTTATACGAGAACAGGTAACTTTCTTTAGTTCATGCACTGCACATGCGATTCTCGATTCTTGAATACTGGAAAACAAAAGTTGCGGGAAAGTTGCTTTGCCTTTCTAAAAGACAATCAAATTGGAGCTGCGTAAATTGGCTCTATGCCAGCTACCCGAATGACACTCACGTGATACATAATTCGCCAAAAAAGTTACCTCTTCCGACGTCGGCGCAAAAATCGCTTTTTTTGGCGGGATCGTTGTATGAACTTCCCTGACTTTTCCAGATTTTGACAAAAATACTTAAATTCCCTGACTTTTCCCTGAATATTTTGGTCAATTTTCGAATTCCCTGACTTTTCCCGGTTCTCCAGGTAGCGTGGCAACCCTGTTTTAAGAACTGGAAGTTCTACCAATCAAAAAAGAGGCAATTATCAACTCTAGGCCTCTCACTTATGCTTTCAGCAATCCAAATGGATCAGAACCACTAATAATTTGGACATTTCTTAGACATACAGAAAACTAATACTGACTTCCTCAAGCTAGTAAAGGGATTCCTTCCTCAGACTCCCAACTTCTGAAAATGAGAAGATTCCAAGCTTTACCTAATCGAACTTGATGATGGATGGAAGGCTTCTTGAACTTAGGTCAACTCATTAATCTCGACTGTGTCAACTAGATCAAAGACCTTCAACAGAACATTGTGGTTTTGATAAAAGAAAACAACGCAGCAGACTTCTATGGTAAATAGACATTGTGATAGATTTGACATAATGGAAAAACATGATGCAAATAGGCATTGTGATAGATAACATGATGGAAGAGTCCGTGTATGCACGTTGGATTTTCAAGTGGAACTCTCATTAGGAGACTTGTGCAACTGTTATGTTCTCTGCAATTCACAATCAACACTCAAAAAACATTTTTGTCTTGAGGATGTCTAGCCAGTACATGGCAGTGATATGTTATAATCATCTTGATTTTAGTCAATGTTTATAGTGTAGCTAAAATGCGTTGTGTAAAGTTGTCCCTCATTATACTGCGGCAGTAAAAAAATTAATATATAAAATATCTTGAATTACTGTCACAGAAGTTCACCTGACCAAGAACCATGTAAGAACTTTATATTATAATTGAACTGATTTATAAACTGAACTCTTTAGTTTTATTTATTTCTTTGGTAAACAATATAAAAATGGAAAGTAGTAGCTTTATGGTTACAAGTACATAAAAAATAATGCAAGAAAATTTAATGAGGTGGATGTAACTGTTTCTTGTTGCATGAAAAATTTAATCTTAGGGCAATATTTGACACTGCTGAATGTAAAACATCTTCAATGATTTTCACCGAACATTTCACCAGGGGGAAGGGGGAGATGTATTCAGTTTTTTATTTAGATGTTTTGCATTTATTTTCAGTTTATGAAAACAAAAAACTACATTTATTTAAGTCCTGGTACTTATCAACATTTCCTGTTTATTTATAAAACACATAAAAAATAACATAAATTTAAATAGTTATATGTGTACTTTTCGAGTTTGGGAAAGGAGGGGGAGAGGAATGATCAGTGAATGATAAAGAGGGTGCATGGATAAAAAGAAAGTTGATATCCCTTACTTAATACCATTTCAGAAACTGTGGGATTTTCAGTTCTGCCTCCGGTCCAGAATTCAATCAAGGACTTCTACAGAAACTCAAGTTTTAAATCTGAATCATTTGATAGTTTGTGGGCACAATATCGGAGACGATTAATCTCACAGACATCAATTAATGCAGTTTCTTTAAATTTATATATCTTAAATATCTCTTTCCCTACATCACGTTATTCCAAGAATTTGTCCTTCAACTGGAAATTTCGCGTCGGAAGAAAAGTGGAAACACATTAAAAGTCTCCAAAGTTCTGAGACAGGCACCAAGTCTATAAATAAATACTACTCTCAGTGATAAATTTGACATCAATCTTGACAAACGTACCTGTTACCTAAGAGTATAATTTCATGGCTATAATGAATACGCACCTTATCACAACAAAATAAGACTTTTGAACTGGTTTTACATAAAACTGATTAATTCTTGATAAACCTGAACCACTATTAATCACTTTTTTCTCTATAATTTCAAATAAATATTAAAACTTAAAACCTGCATTCAGCAGGAAACAGACTACTTTTAAAATTATGTTAAGAAATGTGGGCATTAATAGGCACTATAAACAACTTTATTTGAAAACTTATAAATAACAGCAATACAATGTGAAAAATTAGGACAAGCAATTTAAGTTTCTTGTATGATCTGTGTGTCTCTCTTGATTATGAATGATTGATTAACTATCTAACAAATTAATTTCTACCAAAAATTCTTCCAGAATGATCAGCACAAGTTCGGTGGGATCTCCACCAAGATCTAAACAGGATTTCATAATTGGTTGTGACGTTTTATTTTCGTATGAATACATCAACTAAGAATATAATCAATGTTTATGTTTGAAATGCATGTCCCCTCTATATCTCGCATAATTTAAATATACAGTTTTGATATTAAAATTTATGATTAAACTTATGGCATTTCAGTTTTACTAATGAAATTTTAATTTGATTCTTTCCATTCTTCACCACAAGGAACATTCTTCACACTTTTTCTTTAAATTTTACAAATAATTAGCCTTATACTTATTCTTTTATGCCTCATTTTGTCGCCTTCTAGCTCAAACCAGAACTTTATGCAAATTTTACATCAAGTGGCATAAGTTTAATCATAAAGAATAATAATAATCAGCATGACTCATAACAGAAGCTTGGGGGTTGCCACAGAAGTTGTTTGCTTAGAGACACACAGCCGCTGATCAGAAAGATGTGAACACCTGATGCTGGTATGGTCGGAACATGTTGGAAGTTAGTTGCACTTTGCCTGTCCAGTTAGAGTCATGTTTCATGTAGATTGCTGGAGTTGTAATCTAGTTAATATACAGCATTTAATATAAAATTGGAATAAGCCACTAAAGCACCATTGATGATAGGGTATTATTTTGAGTCTCATTAGCCGCAATGAAGAAAGTTGTATGTTTACATTTTTGTGCCATATCTTGCTTCCACAATAAGGATTAATGAAAAGTCTTAACATGTTGAGATAACTTCTGAAGGTGAGCAGTTAGTCGTAATAGATTTACATGGTTACAACCGAATGTTTTTCTAAAAATATCTATTAAAAAACATTAAACATTTTACAGCAGTTATTTTACAATACAATTAAAAGTTACAAAGCATTTATGTTTTGTAATAACAATACGTTTATGCATCTTTTTAAATTGAAAATTTTAGCTAATTTACATCAATTTCTTCCTTTTCAGCATCTTTTCTAGGTTTATTTCAATAAACAAATGTTTCCACTACTCTTTGCTTCATCACCTAATTTATTAATTTTGTTTGTTTGAAAAATAATTTTTACTCTCTTTATATTATCAATTTCTTCTACAATGAACTTCCTGCTCATTTTAGAATTAAATAAACATGTCTGTTATTCTAAAGAACTGCTTTACTTACAATTTACAATGTACAGAAGAAACTGAATTTTATTTCTTTAATATGAGCATTGAGAATAATTATGAAATGGTATATGGTCAGGGCTGGCACTGGAGGCAGAGTGGCAGAATTTTTAGAATTTAGTAAAGCACCGAGCAACAAAATTTAGGGACAGTAAAATTTTTAGAATACATGGCAGGCACTGAGGTATGTATGGTACATCGAGACACTACATGAATCTTATATTGACAATTTTCAATTTCCTTGATTGCTTCAATGCTTGTGTCCAGTGAAAAGATAAGAAAATAATGGCAAGATAAAAATGCTAAGAGAAAGACTACTGGGATCAAAAGGAGAAAAAATATAATAATTTAGTTTTCACTGCTCTTCCAAAAATTTTATAAAAGATAAGAAATTTGTCACAAATTTCCTATAAAATAAGCCCATTACATGTTAACACCATGAAAGGACTTTTCAATTTGTCATATTTTTCTGGAAATTGTAAGTCTGCATATCTTGTTTTCAAATCCTTCATCTTTCGACGTGGTAGTTTTAAAATCCAAAAGAAAAATTATCCCTGCCAACTTTGCAAGAGCAAAAAACCAGAAGAATTTTTGGAGAAAAAAAAGTGTTAAGTGATTTTTTAAGAGAAAACATATACATTTATATATTCTAAAACAATTACAAGGGGAAAAACTCTTACAAAAAACATAAAAGAGACAAATGAAACTAATTTTAAAATAATGACACTAGCATTTTCTCTTTCTCCTAAGAAGTGTTTCGAAAACTGTGCTTTTATCTTATTCATTTTTCAGAATAAAAATTTTCCTAAGTCACCAAAATGGGAAGTAATATAACTTTAAAATATGATAGAAAGAAAAAATTGTTTTATTTTAATGTAATTTCTTAAATATAAATTTTAACAAATTATTTTTCCAATATTAATCAACATCACTGGGGAACAGCAATGAACTGTCATTAGTTTTTCACTAACGTTTGGCCTCTGAATCCCAAAATAACCTTAATTTTTGTTCATCGCATCAACTTTTCATGCTAAAGGATAGATACCCTCTCATTGACTGAAGAGTCACACAAAATATGCATATAAAGGATAATAAAAGGAAAACTTACCAAATACACTGTTTACAAAGAATAGTTTTATTCATACAAAAGTTATATATAGTTACTGCAACTTAAATTTTGTTCATGCAAATAGTAAATTTTTTTAACAAATGCTAAGCATGTAAACATATTAAGATCAAAAGTTTTAATTAGCCCTTCTTCTGGAGAGCTTAATCTGCAGACATTTTTGCTTAATGCTCCGACAATAGTGAGCAATCATATGCACACCTCAATCTACCTTGGCAACGTGCTTCCATATAACATTCAAATCTTGATGGAATAGCTCACCCTGTTCATCTCTGACCGTACCAAGATTTTTCTGGAAGTTTATCAAGATGGCTATGTAAAAAATGCAATTTGATGCTCATGTTGCAATCAAGCATTTTGAAGCTCTCCAAAAGTTTTTGGATTATTTCTCTGTAATTCTATACTCATGTATTTCCAACAACAAAGTCTTTGAAAATGTTCTTGAATGCAAAACAAACTTCTTTTGAAGTTCTGTCACTGCCACGATGAAACAATCTTCAACGATTTGCCGAATCTGCGGATCATCAAATACATCACCCATTATCTTTTCAAATGACACACTAGGTAATGCTGAAATGAGATACTTAAAACAATCTCCTTCAATGCATAAACTGCTTCATGAGACAGTTTTATACGCAGAGGTGGAAATATAATGTTCTTTCTGTGGACGAGTGGCTATTGTAGAATGTTTCAATCACCAGGGTTTACGTCAGATCTTGAGACCATTTCAACTGCCCAATACTTCTCACCTGCTGTCACACAAAAAACAGGGATACTTGGTATATCAGCACTGTTTCTCAATACAGTAGTAAGGAAGCAGATCACTTTAACATTAACACAGATGATCCATTGATGCATGTGATATTGCAACAAATCAATGACTCTATGCCTTCATATTCTTTACAAAAACATACTCAATGGCCTATTGGAACTGCACCAAATAAATCTGCATTGAGGAGAACACATTTCAAGCTCCACCTTGAGCAATATTTTAAACTCTACCTTGAGCCATCAATGAATAAACATCATTGACTTGTGTTATAGGCTAAAATTCCCAACTCTTCCATTAAACATGTATGTTATATAGCAATACACAAATCCATCATCACTTGGACAGCTATTGGATAGTCTCAAATCTCATGCCAAATTATTCAAACTCATGCTGGTCAAATCCCTTACAAACAGAATCACCTTAAATTTCAAAATCTTCAGAGGTCAGTATGTATTCACCAGAATCATAATCATGTATTTCCAAAGAGGGTAATTCTTTGAAAACTGGCACTAAATGTATAGCTAATGGTAAACTAAGATACTTTTTCTACATTTGTTTTTCTTGTTGTAACATAAGTAACAATCACTTGAGTCATCGTTGGGCTCTCACCTAATCAGTTATACCAAATGGTAATTTAGAACATGCTTCCTTCATCCACATCACAAAACTACTCTCAGCACACCACTTGCATACTCTGCAAGAGGATTGTGATTTACCTTGATATCAATTTTCAGTTTAAAATAGGCAAAAATAGAATTACCTTACAAATGTAACAATGTTTGTCACTTAACTGGGAATGGTAAAACTACCACATATATAGCAAAATGAACTGGAATTGTTTATGCACTAGCGACATGAACTAGCGGAGGAAGACATAAAGAAAGGTTTTAGTTCATATATAAATAAAATCTAGACGCTGCTAATCTTGTATACAAACAAGAACTTGGACTCCATGTCAAAATATGCTTCATTATGAGGAAGAGACACATGACGTCTCTATACAGTATTTTAAGGTGCAACTGAACTAGTCTTGACAAGTACACACCACTGTTGGTCTTCTATGCGTAATTCACTCAATGCGGATCGAAGGGACGTCAGGAGGAGGTAGTGGTACTTTGTAAATATGTGCTTGAAGCCACGGAGAGTGGTCACATTCATAGGCATAGAGAAAAACTTAACTTGGTAGCTGGAAACTAATTACAGTTTTAAAATCAACATGCTTATTTAACTCTAAAACAGCTCAAAAATTTAATTCAGGAGAAAATGTACTACAAACTGTTCCCCAGTAAATTATTATGTTCGTATTAAAAAAAAAATCACCAGATTAGCACTGAATAAAAGAACTCATATTCCCCCAAAACACAGTTGTTTTTTTATGAACTATATATTTGAAAAAAAGAAACTATTTCAATCAAGGCATGGCCTCCTGATTAAAACTTGAGTATCTACCATTTATATTCAGAATTAGAAAAGAATTCAAAAATTAACCCATAAAATACATATTTATCAATGCATCACCAAAAAATATTCCTCCAAAATGCTAATTCATGCTCAATATGGGAGTCATAAATAAACTGACAGAAATGAGAGTAGAATAAAGAACCTTTAGTCAATTTTGGCCGAAATTAAGTACTTTTAAGGACCAAAAATAGTTTCTAAAAAACCTAAATCTAGTTTCTTGGCATAAAGTTCAAAGTTTTCATCTTTATGCTAATTAGGGATAAGCGTCAACCAATCAGAGCGAATGCACAAAACCTGAATGGAAAAACAGAGCGGGAAAGCTGTAGACACATTCCACAAATTCAGCTTCTCTACATCGGTGCGGCTTAGACCGTGTCAGATGTGAAAGGAATTCTCGCATTTTATTCCTTATGATTACGCTTCTGTGTCATTGACATCTGAACGCAGCCTAAAGTACCATACAAAGCCTGATTTACTCCTGTTGGGAAAGGAAGTTTTGTTTTGAAACTAGGCATAGGTGGGTTGGTAAATCAAGGTTTATTATATTTTAATTCAAGCACTCCCAGGTGGTAAGATAAAATAAACTCAAAAGTACTGTCTATCTGTTTAATGGTTAAATAATGGTGGTGGTGATAATTCATTGCACAAATCAGAACTAATAGCTTAAAGTTCTAATTGTACTAGTTAAAAAGCAACTCACACAGGTTTTAGAAGCTGGTGACTGACATGACTTTTTTTTTTTTTTTTTAATTTTTGGACTGGACATTTTTATTCATTTAAGCTTTTATACATCAAACCATCGGGAATTTACACGTATTCCGCACTTCTTGAGCTTTTACTACATTTTTAAACTGCATGACTTAAAAAGAAAAGCATACAAAAAAAACAGTATACACATCTTTTTCTGATGGCATAATGCAAAATTTCTTTTAAAAATACTTGTTTTAATTAACTAAATATGCTTAAAAATTATTTCAAATTGTAGACAACATTGTTGGTACTTTCAATTAAAGTAAAATTTGCTTTTAAATGAAATCGCATAAATTGTAATTCTACATTTTTGAACTAATTGTTTTAAAATAAAATTAATCAGATATCATACAGATTATCTGCCCTATAATTAGCCATAGCTTAACAAGTAGATTCCTCAAACACTAGTGAAGAACATGTGGTTAATTAAAAAAAATTACATGTGAGTTGCTTGAATCAAAGGTTTGAGAGTTCTCTATCCAAACACAGAAGGCCATATTTTGAATTAGTTCTGTCGTCTATTTCACATTCTGTAAAACTTCAATGAATTTTCGATTAACAAACTTAAGGAATTCAAAGCACGCAATAGGAACATTGTACAGAAAAAATACTTTTATATCCAGTGCACAAGACTGTCTATCGGAAATTCTAAAAATATACTGTTTGCACTTCTTAGGTATTTTGTGATGTTGTTGAACTGAATTTTTGTGTGGTTAGGTAAAAAATATGATACTTAATAAATAATGGTAACATAAAAAAAGAAGTTATAAGAAAAAGCCCTTTTAGGTGTAATATAAAATCTATAAAATCTGAAAACTTTCAGATTGTCTTGCTTTTTTTTAACACATCATATCTCTGCTGAGGTACCTGATGCTGCCAAATAAAAGTTCACGTAATATGCTTAGGAGTTTAAATGTATGGTTTTTTTTCTGACAGCATTATGGAAAAACATTCTTCTTGTATTAAACAAAATAACCTGACTTTCTGACTAGTAAATAAGCTTATAATATTATCAACTAATCTACAAAATTAATATATATATATATATATAGTTTCTATATATATATATATAGTTAATTTTGTATATAGTTTCTATATATATATATATAGAAAGTTCTTATTACAAATTTTTCAAGTACATAAAAAATAAACATAGACCTTACACATTTTTATATTTAGTTGCATTTTAAGACAAAATTTCATCTTTTTTAATTATTAAAACCCAAAAAGGTGCAAATTATTAACAGTAAACAATTTATGAAAGCAATAGATTCCTAATAAGCTAAAAAATGTGTTCAAAAAGACACATTCTGGATATATTATTATCAATATTTCTCTTAATTACATATTAATCAAATAAACGTCTATTTAATGTCATTTCAGCAATAATTCCATAGACAGTCTATCTACCAACTTGGAAAAATCCACAAGGCCTAAAATTAACTCTAATATATGGGGATTTCTTTTTTAATAGATTTTAACACACAATTTATTCACGTTAAATTCCAATTTTTCATGAAAAATTTCTTTAAAATGTTTCTAGTTGAAAATTATTTTCCTACGATCACACTTATTAAAGTTATTGATATAGAAGTTTCTAGCAATTCTTTTAAGGATTTGAAACAATGAATGAAACACAAGCGAAACAAACTAATGATTAGTTTCCAGGCAGTAGTTTATAAACTTCTCAAGTCTTTGAAGATAAAAATTTACTGCATGAAAATCTGAATGACTTCTTAATAAAGAAAGCAATTAAAAACTATATAAAGAATAAAATATTTATCACCAAATTTGAAGTAAAAAATTCCATGTGGTATGCACAATGGAAGATGGCAGGTACAGAATTAAGAAAAGTTACTCGATTCAAAATTCCAAAAGTTCTCATTACTATAAATAAACCACACGAAAAAATTACACTATATTACGGAATACTGCATTTAATAAATTCTACATTAAGCTTCTTACAACTAACTAAACTACACTTTTTAAACACTTACTCATGGCTAAAATTGTAAATAAAATTTCTCTTTTTCTTAACGGAAAAGTCTTTTACAAAACAGCAATTACTACATAATAAAAGAAAAAGGTTTTAAATATCACTCTCAGTATTTTCTGGAAGTACTTTAAGGAATTATCTGATAACTGATTCGAGATTATAACCTTCGGTATCAAATAAAAACATCGCACACTGTTCTTTTTTGTAGATTTTTTATTCGCCAATAATTAAGACACGTCGAAAAACAAAACGAATGCAGCCACAGACGATCCAGGTTACATTCCCTAACAGTTAAAGTAAGTAAGTACATAGAACAATGAAGAAGACACACTACTAAAAAAAATGAGACATGTCTCACTGGAAGCCGTCAACAAAACTTCTACACACAGAACGTACTTTAAGACGACACTATAAAAGTTTTAAAAAAAAATTTACATTTCAAATGTTCTACAAATAAACGTTAAAAATCACTGTCACTTCCTAAACAGCGATCTTTTTAAACGCTCAAAATTATCGGTACATTCAATGCGGAAGGCGAAATGACGATGGAAATATTTGAGCGGATCTTCAGAGCGGCGCGATTCCCTGTCTTTTCAAAAATATGTCGGTCGTCGAGTCGAAGACAGCGGTGGCGCACGGCTGCTGCTGTGAATAAAAAAAAAATCGATAAGTAGCGAAAGACGCATGTCGATTTTTTTAAATAAAATTAGCGCACATATTTCACATAATACTTTATCAGATCTTTGAATTATGATGAAAAATGATTACCAGGTTACCTACTTAGTTTTTCCAAAAAAATTAAAATAAATAGTCAATAAAAGAAAAAGATACACACTACAGTAAAACATAAAATTAGGCAAAGTAACAACCTTGCATTTGGAGTAGATTTTAAGTAAGACTATCGATTTAGAGGATGAACACATACAGATCTCTTATCATCAGAAGGAAAGAATAAAAGACAGAAAAGAAGAGACCATGGTCATACTTATACCAAAACAAAAAAGTAAAGCAAACAAGAAAATAGCACTGTCCACAGATACAAGCGAAAAAATGAAAAAAGATTAACTTTATACTATTTTAGTAGCATTACAATGACAAGATAGGAATTAAAGCCATTAACTAAACAAATCTAAGTGAATGTGATCTATGTTTTTTATGTGAAACTTCCACGTTCTTTTAGTTCTGCCATATATCTTAAACCACACTGACAAGACATACACCACAAATTAAAGTTAGAAATGGAATCTTTAATTTTAGATACAGCTAAAAAATGGCTTGAAAACTGAACTTGTGGAGAATCTGTTCAATTTTGTGACTGATAAAAGAATGAAATGGAAGAACAAGGATAATTATGTTACTACTATGAGTGGAATGTTTTCTTCAATGCTCCCCCCCCCAAATGATGAGGGACCCTCACTCGTTTGCCCTAAAAGTTGATAGTCTTTATTGAAATTTATGTCAAACACAAAGTTGCTGCCTTGCCTAATTTTATGCAAATAGACAGTCATCAAATTTTATTAACCACCTAATGAGGAAATTTGCAAAATTAAAGACAAATCACCGGATATGAGTATGAAATAAAAAAAGGTTATAACTTCATACGCATCCATGAACAAAACATAGATATTAAATTTACATTAAAATAGCAAAACCAGGCAAAAGAACATGCAAAAATTCTATGCATCTCAAAGAAAAGATTAATATAATTTAAAAGGACTTGGTTACAGTTCTAAAAATGTTTTAAAGTTTGAAAAATATTTCAAGGATTTAACTAACAAGATAGCAATGGAGAGGGAAAGTAGGATTACACATCAAACCACCAAAGGGGAAAAAACACTGCTTAACAGAGAAAATGGATAGAAGTTAATTGTATGTTTTCTCAAAGGTCAATTTTGAATTCACATCATACCTAAACCAGATAGAAAGCAAAATTGTTTTAAAAAAGTATCCCATTCAACATTCCAGATTAAATAAAAATTCAGAAGGCGAATAATTTATGCACAAAGATACATGCAGATATATTAGTGGCTGGTAAAACTGCAAATCATAAACAGCAAAGTAAATTTTTAACATCCAATTTATGGTAAGCAATTTCTTTGACAATGAGTAAAAACAAGGGCAAATTTACAAATCATAATGTAACACTTCTTATTAATTTAAGAAACTTTAAAAAAAATCCACAATTGCAGATGACAGAAAGGCACTACTGCATAGCTACCAACCTTGAAAGCTGAAAACCCGAGGTTTTCACACTGCACGGCAATGCCATTTCAAAGAATACCCCGATTTTATAATGCAAGATTCAAGTTGTTAAACTATTTGTAATACAATTATGGTGGAAAATATATTAGTATTTAATTAGATATTCTAAATTCCATACTGTTTGGCAAATTTTATTTTAAAATTCTTTTACAGTTATACTGAGAAAATCCCATATATGGAAGAAAAGCTTTTATTAATAGAAGTACTTTTAAATACAATGAAAATAAAATTAATAATTACCATGCAATATTTATCTAGATAAATTAGTAATGAATCATATATTGAAGTAAAAACAAATGCAAAAATTAAATGATTAAACACTGGTTGAATCTTCACATAAAAATGTACATATGCCTGCAGTAGATTAAAACAACTCGGATAAAATGAAATTTAATAGAAAAAGAATAAGATATAACAAGAAAAAATAGTTTAGATAAAATCAAATTTTAAAAGAAAAATATTCTGAAAATCACTAGGGTTAAAATGAACAGAATTTGCTCAATATTAAATTTTATACATTCAATCAAATTTATTTATTGGTTGAAAAAAAATAAAGGCTGAAAGCTAAAAACTGGGAGATTTGGCAATCTATTGCGAGAATTGAAAAAAATCGCAGAGTTGGCAGCTATGCTTTTGTAACAATAGTTTATTTGGCTATGGCAAAACAGACACTGGATACCTAAGTAAAGGTATGCCTTCATAGCAAAACAATACTACCATTATGATAACATTCTAAAAATTGTGAAAAGATGCCCCACACAGAAATTACATAAAATCTAGAAAAACTTGTTCCTACTGGTAAACAGGTCAACAAAGAGATAAATAGAACAAATCAGACTATGTTATCAAATAGAATCATCAGCATGAAAACCTGAGACAGTAAAATCTGCTCACTGCAGATATACATTGGACTAGCACACGTTCAAACATACACTATTTGCAAAAAGTAATATATTTAGAGATATCCATACAGCAAAGAAATAACATGGAATATATTTCTTTTTTGTGGAATTTAATCAAGAGTTTGCATTACTGTAATAATTCATACAAGTTCAAATTCTGCCATTTTCATTGGAAAAGTTTTTACGGAGGAAATTATGCCTGAGCAATATGAATTGTAAATCTGCCAAACAAACATTGAATGCTTACCATAAATTAGATCTAAGACAAATATTTTTTTTTCCTTTACGCATTCATTCAAAAATGAAGCATAACTTAAAAATTTCTATTTTGAACAGCATTTAAGGCTTTTTAGTAGAAAGAAATAGAGAGGACTAGCCATTTTAAATTAATGAAAAGAATCTTTTACTTTAATAAAAGATTTTTACTACTGCCACAGCTGAATTATATAATAAATGTATGGCCACTTATATTATTATCTCTATAATGACTGCCAGTATATTTACCAGACAAATATTTCATACCTTAGTATGTTCATTGGTTAACAGCCCACTGTTTTATAAACTTGCTTGTTACATATTATTATGGTTATCACACAAGGTGTGATTATCAGTTTTAAGCTGCATTCACAGTGGTCTATTGGCACGAAAAGCAAAATAAAATGCATAACGTGCATCAATTCACACTAGGGGGAAAATTTTCACTTTAAAAGTTTTCAAAAATGCCTATTAGATGGCTCTTCATACATACAAATATACACAGAATCCGCTGAAGCTTGTTCCCAATGCACTATCTCAGCACTAAAGTATTGTTAGTGGGAAACTGGTTATTAACCTTCACTAAGCCGAATATGTATCTGCACCGCTTTGAAGCTAGCAATAAATTTTCTGTAATTAATTATTTTTTAAATACCAATTTCATTACAACAACTCCACTCGGGTGATTTGAACGAACAGTCTTTGGCTCCAAAGTCCAAGGTTTATTCATTACGCAACACAAGGCCCATAAGAACAACCTTAAATTTGCATAGATTTTAAGAAAAATTCAAAATAAAGTTTTTTCGAAAGACGAAATTTCGAAGCCTATCATATTTTATAACAATCTACTGCTTTCGATTTCTATGTAAAAATTATCAACCATATCTCATTTATGGTTGATAATTATGGTTAATATTACTCTCTATAAACCTCAGAATTTTCTTTTAAAAAACTTTATTGTATTAATTTACATATTTTTAATCATCACCTGACCTTTTTTTAATTAAAATTAGTCCACTTGATTTTATATTTTATTCAAGAATTTTTGAATGCATATTGATTTAAAAACTGTAGTAAACACTGAACATTCGAAACGAGATTCCCGAAACTGATGCAGAAAGCAGCAAAAAGTTGGAAGTTGAGTCAACTTGCGTGGTCTCTGGCCATCCGAAAAATACCACCTCTAAACTCTCTTCTCATTGGTTAATACTTTTTTTGCAAACGCACAGATGTGAATTGGCCTTCAGTTGTAGATATTTTTTTCTCCCACATAACTGCTCTATACCTTAAGAAAACCAATAACCTCAGATACTTTACAAGGTGTGCAATTAATTCTGTCCTGGAATTATGCAACAATATTCTGCTGTCATAATAAATAAATAAAAATAATTAAATGCACTAACACAAGGTATGACTGGTGTATCCTGCAAACTAATTAAATCAAAAATGTTTCAACGCAAATAAATATTAAGCCTCCTCAGGCGATATTTTTTATCACAGAAACATCAGGTAAGAAAATCTCTGGCAGACAAGAAAAACGAACAAATTGAAACAGGACTGATTAGGAATGAAATGTGAATTCATCGACGCATACAGCAAATCAGTCAGGTATTTGTACAATATAACTATGATAATTGAATTTTTTTTTTAACCAGAATGAATTCTAAGATCATGTGGATAACTTTAAGATAGTTAATTTTGTTAAACAGCTACTAAAACTGACACAATTTTATGAATTTTTTAATACAAAAATAATTATAAGTGGCCATACATAAATTGACTACTTTCTGAAGTTACATCAGCAGCATGATTTTATAGTAAATAAATAATACTATTTTGAATCCAGAACTAAAAATTAAGTAATCTTAAATTAGGAAAAATGCCAATCACCTTAAAAAACACCACAAATGGCAAAATAATCAATATATTCAAATTACATTATGTGGCATGCAAATATGATACATTACATGATTTTACATACCAGCCATTCAGAAAATATAGCACAAATAATTGAATTAATTTTTAAAAAATTTCGGAAAGGATGTGCCTTACCCATTAGCCACACTGTCATACCAATAAGAAGATCTGCAACAAAATAAAATGAGTTAAACAGAAGCCCAAATTTTGTATTAAATAATTCAGTATTGATGTTAATTTAAAATGGGAAAAATAGTACTTGCATGTTAATGGAGAAAAGGCTACAACTCCCCCCAAAAACGACCGAATAGTTGTCAACTTTGGCACAGTAACACATATTACTCACTATTACAACCATTTGAACTTCCTAAATTTCAGAACGGAGTTTCTTTTCCTTTCTTTTTGACTTAATAGTTTAATCATGAGTTTTCTACTGAATCTATCAAATAATGAACGCGGTACGATTAATGATGGTCATGCATGGAGTTCATACGCAAAGTATCGACTGGGTATTGAATTATTCAAAATGGAGGCACAAGAGACTTATAGCAACTACCCATTTGAAGTCGCACTTGTTTGTGTAATGGTAGAAATTATAGATCGAGGTTAAAAATAACCTTCAAAGCTATTTAGAAGCAATTTGCCAAGTACTTTCCACCTGAAATAGAGAAAAACTAAATGTATCAAATTATCTCCCAAGTTAGCCAATCCTCCATTAACACGCAAGTACCAAAACAAAATATACATACCTCATAGGTGCAGGAGGCGACCTGCGAGAATAAAGGTAATCAGAACGCTCAAGCATTGGTCTTCTCTCATATAAATCGTCTCGCATACTCAAGGGTGGCAGGGGCCTTGAATATGGATCAACACTCGCCAATGGTGGAAGTGGCCTTCGTGGATAATCATCACGCAATGGGGGCATATTTGGGCTTCGTCGCTCATAGGGTGGAGGATATGGCCTCATTCTTTCTCGGCCAAATCCAAATGGCCGATCATAAAAGGAATCTCCACCCAATGGTGGCCCATCAAAACGTCTGTAACCATTGGGAAAACCACCACCAAAACTTCCGCGAGAAACAGGGCCATATCCATTTCTAGGTGCATTAGATCCTCTGCGACTGGATAAAAATAAAGCTTATACATTAGTTCTTAAATTTATAGATATACTGTTAAACTAGAAAAATAAAAACAAATACACACAGTGGACTCACTCATGGTAAATTACATAAAATATGTATAAAATTTGTTTTATTTTTTTATTTATTACTGAAACACTGACACAAAAGAAATTAAAAACAAATTCATTAAAATTAATTTGAGAAGCCCCAATACACTTAACAAAGAATAAGAACAGCTTAGGTTCAACCCATTAGAATAAAATCTGGAAGGAAAATATAAAACTGATGGCTAACAAAAATAGTTATTATTAGCATCAATTATATTTGTTAAATTGTTGTAACTAACAATGGATTTTTGGAGATAACTTATTTCAAGGAAAAAAAGTATTAAAAAATTCAAGAATCACAAATGATAATATATTACAGAAAGTTCTACAGAAAAGGATGCAACAATCTGGCGAAGCTAATATCTTGCCTAGTTACTAAGCTAACTTCAACATCAAAAAAAGATAATACAAAATACTAGAAATGTTCCGAAATCTAAACTACTGTAATTTTGTCATAATTGTCCAAATCAGGGGTTCTCAACCGGTGATACGCAATAGAAAAATAGGTGGTATGCAAAGAAACAAAGTATTTTTAACTGTAAAACCCCAAACCCAAAATTAAAACCCCAACATCCTGATTCAGTTTTTTCTCCAACACTCGTAAATTTATGCGATCTGAGCTTTGTTCAAGAGTGGTGGTGGTAGTAGTACTTTGTAGTGGTGGTACTAAAGGTTTTCAATTTTTGTTTAGATGATATGCGTTAGTCAAAAGGTTGAGAACCTCTGGTCTAAATCATATAATTCTTATGTTCACTCCGAAATTTGTGAATTAAATATACAATGTGGACATCAAAACTTTTTCTAAAGCTACATAAATTGTAAACATTTATTGTTGCACTTCATTTAAACTTATTTCCACCAATTAATCACATATACTTCTTATTCAATCAACTCAGTTCTTACTTTAGAGTAAAGAGGAAAAAAAAAAAAAAAAAAAATATTTTCATTAGAATTTGTAAAATAACAAAAATCTTAAGTAACCTAAAACATCAAATACAACTAAAAAGATAATTTTTACAATTAAAATTACAAGTCTATTAAAAAACGAGTAATTTAGCCAGTGGACAAAAAGACAACATTTTGCCATACAAAATTAACTTTTGGTCCCAATGGGCATAAAGACATTGAAGTTAGAACACCCACTTAATTTACTATACTAAGAGTTTCAAATAAAAACAAATGGCAGTCTCATTAGGCTTAGGACCACTTAAACTTTTAAATTGTTGATAATTCTACAACGATTGCATGCAAATTAACTAAAGGCATAAACACTTAAAAAAAAAAGCAAAAAATGCACAATTTACCTACATATAAGAATAAAAAACTGAGATCAGTGAACCGGGTAACAGAGTAGCGGATGTGTATATATATATATATACACCTACCACACACAAAATAAGTTTTGTGGGCCTTAGAACTGTAACACAGACTGCAAAACTCAGAATTAAATAATATAATTATGCTACACCTAAATTGTGTTAGCAAAAGCTATTAAACAGCAAGACCCTTTGTGGTACTCTGTTATTTAAATTAATTCTTTTGAGTTCACTAACTCTGAATCTAAATTTTACTTTTGGCTATGCTTAAGTTTTTTTTTTTTTTTTTTTCTTTTTAACTATATTTAACTTCCTACATGTCAAATGGTGTCACACTTTCTCTAATCCATTACTTCCAGGATAAGTTCATCATTCTATTGGCTAAACGCATACAGATAACATGGCTCACATTCTGGGTTACACCTTCCAAGAAAACACTACCAACTTTTCATCAATGGGCTCTACTTGAATGAATTGCGATCTTTAGTACAGAAATGCTATCACACACGACTTACTTTCGACTTCATGTGTTTAAAATTATCAGCACACATTACCCTGGGATAGTACAACTGTGAAAGAGCCCATACTAAGCAAACTGCATTTGCCTGAGTTGAGTGTGATCAAGTGTTACTTTGAAGTACCAGAAAATTATGCTTACCGAATAGATTTGGCTATTCAGTTTTCCAAACATTTTTTACTTATTTTCCTACTATCATTTTTGGTTTTTGGTGTGGTTATGTCTTATAAGAAGGAATGAACAATTCCAGCAAGAACACATTATACAGTGACTAGTATTTTCTGTAGGGGGAATGGGTAGTCATTTTTTGTCCTATATTTAACTTATGAGAACAACATATAAGCTGATACATGAATTAAAAATCATTTTGGATTTTCTGCCATTCAAATTATATTTTAAAGAAACAGTAAACAGAATTTATGCCTGCTTATGCTAACTCTTGAAATAATTATGTTTTCTTTACACTGGTTTAAGAGTCTAGGGGAGGGAAAAAAACAATAATAATTTGAGCAATTACTATTTTCTTCCTGAGAAAATGAATTTCACAATTCAAGACATACTTCATTTACTTAACTTTATTCATAACTTCTTAATACTTTCAAGATATGGCATGGTCACTAGTATCTGAAATGAAACCTACATTATCAATAGGCAACATGAACTGCCCCTTTTTTGTGAAATAATGATAAGTGAAGCATATACATATACAATGAAAGTGCTTCAGCTACTGCAAAAGCAAGCATATCCCAAATTTAAATCAACATTTCTCGCAATTAATGACAAAAATAATTACAAACATTTCTCTCATTTTCTGAGAATATTCTACTTTTCCAGCTTTTAGTTTCATTAAAAAAGAATTAAAAAAATCAAAATTACCTCAAGACAGTTTGCTTATTGGCTCGACCTGGTGCACCAGGTTCTGGATGTAGTTTGCTTTTTGAAGGCTAAAAAAAAATTGCAAATAATAATACAATTCAATCATAAAACATACTTAATGTACAGAGTATGTACAATATATATTAACTTACCTCAACACTTATGCTGGATCCCATGAGATTGTAATTATTAAGATTCTTCACAGCTTCTTGAGCTTGCTCAGGTGTTGCCATATGCTAAAAAAAAAATTCTGAGTCAGAAAATGTAACACTACCTTCTCATATCTGGTTTACATACAGGTCTCCCTCATGAAACTGAAAATAATCTAATACTTACAACAAAACCATATTTGTTTATTACATCACACTCTGTAACTGACCCATATTTCGAAAACAAAGCACGTAGATCATCATCTGTACAGCCGTCTGGCAAATGACCAACAAAAATTTTTGTTTTCTGGAAATAAACAAAAATGACTCTAATAATTTCAAAATGCATTAATCAGGGGTATACAAATTAAAGTCTAAAACACATTATGTGACATTTTCTGAAATACTAAATTAGAGATTTAGATTGTTTTTTTAACATATTTTAGCAATGAAACAATGAAAGTATAGAAAACATTGATAAATTACCAAACCTTGAAGTTTAACATTGAAAGTATAGAAAACATTGATAAATTACCAAACCTTGAATAAAAGTAACTTTTTATATTCATCAATAAATACTAAATACTTAAGAGCTAAATAAGAGTCTAGCTGCATCTGCCATCCCCCTCTGAAATCATTAAACCTTTAACGGTTCTGTCCTGGATAATCTCACTCTTGCCTGCTGTTTAGGGAGTGCCTATGGAAAATTGTTATTTTAAAAAACACCCTCGAATATAGGCCTGCTTGTGTTTTTTTTTTACAATGAAGAGGTATGCCAAGAATGCCTAGCTCAGATTTTTGTCTATCCCTCCCCCCACATGCCTAAGGAGACAATACTGACATGACAATGGGTAATGACTGTCAGCAGAGAGAAATCTTAATGTTTTGAGATAAAAGCCTTACACAGGCTAAAACAAAACAAAAAATTTATCACCAGTTAGCAAATGAATGTATACAAAAAGGGAATGGAAAATTTCCATTTCAGAACAGTTTTTAGAAAGGTTATTTTATAAAATATTTATTTATAACTCATAAAATTATTAATGAATTAAAAGGAGAAATATAATTCATATAATTTAATGGATAATATTAGATCAAATACTGATTACAATATTCATCTACAAATTTATATCATGCATTATAAGAACATGGGGTGCCCTTGATAAATTTATAAATCATATACTTTTGACAATGCGATTTGATTACATAATTTTATTATTTATGAACCTACACTTTTATTATTTCATGTTATAAAACCAAACATTTTGCAATGGAACTTAATAAATTTTTTGTTTCCACTAAACTATACAATAAATTATTTTTCCCCTTTTGCTTCAATATGGATTTTGAATAAAATCTTACTTTATAAAAACTTTTGTCTTTTAAATTCTTTTTTTATTTTAATCTTTTTACTTGTCACATTATCATTCAAATTATTCAATTGAAAAATTAACTTTTCATCAATAAATAATCAGTTTTACTTTTGATAATTTTCTTAGATCAAACAAAAAAAAATCTATCAATTTTTAAAAATTTCTCAAAAAAAATTATATTAAAAACTTCATGTAAATTTTATTTAAAAGGATATTTTATGCTTTGTAAAATGTTTGTAATGTAAATGAATTTGTTCTTTATATGGAAATAAATATGCACAAAAAAAATTTGAACATTCATTAAAAAAAATCGAATTTTATAAAACTCCCTTTACCATACCCTCATTATCATCTGCAAATGATGTGCATAACAAATTTGAACTCCACAGCTCATCAAAAAGGAGTTTAAAAATCAAGGTCGATTGATTACATATGCATGTGTGATCTTCAGCAATGAATTCCGATTCGGTCTCGGTGCTAATGACCAATGAATACGTGTGAAGCCGACCAGGCGAGTAGTGTGATCCGACATTTGTTGTTGAGCAGCATATGAAGATTACACAAGTGACAGTTTATGTGAACGATATTTTAATGCTGGATACACTGCCTATGCTATCAAGTTGCTCAGATGCTACTTATCAGCAAAACAACACTCATCCATATACTAAGCGACTCTCGCAAATGCATTTAAGCATATTTTCATTTCTTTAACAAAATTGTATACACATGTAAGAATGGTGAATGCCAGAGCCCAGATGCATGAAAGCCATTTACATTCTTTCATTCAAAATTGTAATACTGAAATATTCATAAGATGTCATTAAAATTGCTCATTTAATTAACAGTTAAAACAGAAATTATCGTCTTTCATCCTTTTTCCTATCCAGTTCCATTCAATGTGGTTGCTGGATTTTCTCATTTACCTATTTAGTATGTTGGAAACAATATTTTTCTTTCAGTAAATATCTGTGAAGAAATCAATTTTTGAAATGTAATAGATAATTTATTTTGTTTAACTAATACTGCACTACATTATTCTGTATTTATAAATGTAATCATAAAAAGCATGAAACAAAAATTAAAAACTGTAGTAAAACGAATGAAATAGAAACATAAGATTTTGTAGAAAATGGAATTAATGACACAGTAGATGAGAAGGAAACTATCTCTTACAGAGGTGGAAATTGCGACCTGCAATTTCTACTTTTTAGATTACAGTAAGACCCCGCTTAACGCGGGGGATACGTTCCATCAAAGTAGAGCGTAATACGAAACAGCACTAAACGAGGCTATCTTTACATGTAAATATTGGGGTTAGGGAAAGATGGCTAGGAAATTGATTAGGTATTAAATTTAAAAAGTATGTTTTTTTAATAAAAATAAAACCAAACATTTATTTCTTAAAGCCCAAATTAATACATTATTATTTCTTGCTTGCAAAATAAAAACAAATATAAATAAGAAAAAAAACGAATATTCTTAAAAAAAAAAAACAAATAAAATTCTAAGTCAGTCCATATTTAGTTAGCCTTCCGCGTTTTCAGTGTTCTGTTCTGCCTTTTTGTGACAAAAGCATCTAATGTTGTTTGCCTTTTTCTTTTAAAAGTTTTTTCTTTTAAAAGTCTTGATAACGGATAGAGCATCTCTAACACCACGCCTTACTTTTGAGCTCCTGTCAAAATTCGGATCATTTTCAATGAATTGATCCATTATTTCAGTTATGGTAGACAAACTCCTTTTTACAAACACCATCGAAAGTTCTTTTTTTTTGCTCTTCTGAATCACTGCTGTCAATATTTTTTTTTTTTTCTCTTCTTGTTTAGTTTAATTCCTTGAGCTCATCATTAGAAAGACTAGCCGCTGCTTCTTGAATTATTTCTTCGACATCTTCCACATTTACCCCTTCAAAATATGTCTGTACAATACCACACCAAACAAGAAATACAAGTACACTCTTTCGGATATGTATTTGAAACCTATCGCTGCATAATATTTCGGGGAATCCCCGCATGCTGCGAGCGATTTCGTGGAATCCCCGGGTTAAATAAAAGAACGCTAAACCGAAACAGTGCTAAACGAAACAGCGTTAAGCGGGGTCTTACTGTACATCAATTCAGTTGAACAAGAAAACTCAGGCATGAGAAAGGTTTCTATAAAACATGAAGGCTTTTCTGTTCAACCCCTACAACAAATGAGAGGGGAAAGGGAGCGTTAAGCAATTTATTAATGAAGGAGAGAAAACAAATAGGGGGAAGGAAATTACTTCTTCTGCAAGAAAACTGTTTACAGGCACACTCAAGAATGGGAAAAAAAGGCCTTACACTCCACAGGTTAGAATTTTCCTTCCAAATTTGGTCTATTTTCTTAATCAGGATATAAAACTGGAACAGGTTAAATTCTGCCCTCTGAACGAGAGCCCTTGCACCAGAATAGTATTAAATTTGATGTTTTAAAACATTTCTACTTTTCTTTAACATGATGTTTTGAATTTTTTCATAATGTAGATTTATTGATAACTAAGTATTCATTATTAATACCTATCTGAAATTTTACTAGAACTGACTTTTTTTTTTAGTTTCATATAACATGTTTAAACTTCTATGGGCACAGATAGCAATGCCAAGTTTAGTCTGGCAAAGGGCACCAACAAAAAGACAGAGAATAACGCCTAAGTGAAATGTGTCACAAATATTTTGTAAAAATGAGACTGAAGATAGTTGCATATAAAATTAACATAGCAACAACCTTGCGTTAGACATTAAATTGTATCGGTTTTTGAGGACAAATAGTTACTTGTCCCTCTTCATCAGGAGCAAAGAAATCTGCCAATTCTTTGGCATGCATGGGTATTATGAGCATCAGATTGTGCATCAACAAATTGCATAATTACGACTGGTGCACTTATCCAATGCACAGAATTGTACAGGCAGCCTCTGAAAGTAAAATTATAAAGAAAAAAAAGGGGATAGTCCTCGAAAGGAAAATCTAGCTGATCATGGATATTCGAATACCTATTTTAACGTAAGGTTTAAGAACCAGATGCATCCACGCATAAACAAAATTAAAAGTAACATCCTTTTAGGGTATTAAGTCTCCGGCAATTTACTTACAGCACAAGTTTTTGAACAAAATACAGGCCTTCTTTATGGCCATAAAAAACTGAAAGAGATGAAGTACTGTTAGATATAAGTTTTGGCTCTACTCTTATGTGCACCCTAAGGTTGCCAAATGCTACGATATGTGTTCTGCACTGGTTTTTGGCGCAATAGCGAGTTCTGTTCTGCGATAGTTTTGGGGGGGATGTTGGTTTCTATGGCAACCCTTTTCATGTGGAAACTTGGATTTGCTAGTTGGTTCATGTGGTAATTAAGAGATTTATGACTTGTTGGCAAAATTTTAGTCACGTGCCCGGTACAACTATTTTTTCGGGTGGCTGGAAATTCTGCAAGTATTTAGAAGTTTTGAACATTAATTTGTGAAACATAGTATCAGTTTTGTGCATAGTGAATGTGGCTGTCATATAAATACGATAGAGATTACGTGGCAGCAAGCTAGAGCGGTGTTGCCGACTTATTATTGGAAATGCGATTTGGAGTTTTATTTGGTGGTTTATATATTTTTCCATTGTTGTTCTGAAGCGGAAGAAGATGCTTTTAACAAATTTGGTGATGATTGAAATTGTTATTTCTGCTGTTCAAAGCATTTATTTATGGCAAGTGCATTTTATATTATTTTTGTTCTTATTTAGTAGAATGTTATGTTCATTGTTTTTTAGTATGAATTTCTGTCGTTATTTTTTTTAATTGTTTGAAATTTACTTTAGTTATTTTAGTTTTTTTTTTGTTGTTGATTAGTGCGCAATGTCAAGATTGTGCAATTTGTAGATTTTTTGGTACAACTCTAATATACGCCCTAATTTCACCAAATGTGGCGATATGTGTTCTGCGCTGGTTTTTGGCATGATCGCGTGTTCTATGGCAACCCTGTTGACATTGAAAAATCTTTCGCTGGAGCTGGTTGATTCGCCTCTGTGTCTGAGAAGATGGGAGGGAAAGATAAAATGGTAGTTGTTGAATTGAAATATCATTGTGGCTATCCTGTTGAGGGGTAGTGGATATTTGGAAGTGTGGAAAGAGGGTCTGGGAGATTATTTTTAATGGCAGTGCATGATAGAAGTAAGGATTTGTGATTTTATTTATTTGTGAACCATAGTATTCTGGATAGTGTGTCTGGCTGTCATGTAAATACGATAGTGATTACGTGGCGGCATGTTAAAGGCGGTATGAAATTTATATTTCTACTATTCGAAAACGCATTAATTAATGGTAAGTGCATTTTATTTTATCCTTGTTCTTATTTTGTAGAACGTTATGTTCATTGGTTCTTTAGTATGAATTTCTGTTGTTATTGTTGTTTTTTTAAATTGTTTGAAATTTATTTTAGTTTATTTTGTTGTTTAGTGTCTAGACTGTGCAATTCGTAGATGTTTTTTAAAGTTTAAACAGGATGCTGTGTATATGGTATTCTTAGAAATTTATTGTTGTTATGTTAATTTATTAAAGCGAGGTGTGCATAGTTTGTAGATTCGTTCGTTGCCTAGATTGTGCCATTCGTAGATTTTTTTTAAAGTTAAAACATGTCACTGGGTACATGGATTCTTGTCAAATATTTTTGGTTAGAAACTTTACGTTTTTGCTATCTAAATTTTTTGTTTTTGTTTCGGATTTTTAGCTAAATTGTATGTTGAAAACGTAGTTTTTGCATGTGAGAAAAACCACGTTTTTGGAGACATTTTAGGCTAAAAGTTCGAAATGTAGACAAAAAATTTAGATAGTAATATGGCAGCGTGAAGTTTCTCGCCAAAAATATTTGGCGACTGGAGGGCGCATATCAGAGTAGTTCCGATTTTTTTTCCTTGAAATTTATATTTGTTATGTTAATTTATTAAAGCGAGGTATGCGTAGTTCGTAGATTCCTTCGCTGCTTAAATTGTGCAATTCGTAGATTTTTTTTTAAAGTTTAAACACAAAGCTGTGTACATGGTATTCTTTGAAATCTATTGTTGTTACGTTAATTTATTTCAGCTAAATCTTCATAGCTTGTACATTCCTTCGCTGCATAGATTGTGCAATTTTGTGATTTTTTTTTTTAAGTTAAAAAATATCGCTGTGTACATGGATTCTTATCAAATATTTTTGGTTAGAAACTTTATATTTTTGTTATCTAAATTTTTATTTTTATTTTTATTTATTTATATTTTTTTTTTTTTTTTTTTAGTTTAAATTGTTTGTGTTCAAAACGTGGTTTTTGGAAGTGCGAAAATCGCGTTTTTGCAGACATTTTAGGTTAAAAGTTCAAAATGTAGGAAAAAAATTTAGGTAGTAATAAGGCGGCGTTGAGGCGAGAAATTTGTCGCCGCGTTTGCCGACCTGAGGGAGCATATAAGAATAATTCCTAAGTTTTTAAATTTTTTTTTTATTATTCTAAATTCTCGAAGGATTGTTTGAAATAACTACCTACTACCAAGAACACCAAACAGAAATTCCCAATTTAAAACACATACTGAGCATGTGCGAAAATGCTCCGAAATTCACACTCCTCCAGAAACATAAAATCAGCTCGGATATAATTGCTGTGCTTATTAATCTCATAAAAATGCCAAACAAAACAGGCCAAATAAGTGGGAGATTATGCAGCCGACCTAATACTATTAACATTTACATTACTTTATTCTAATTTGTATTTACATATGCTTCACATCCTGGTTTTCTACCACCCTAAATTTAATTGCATTAAAATTCACGTTTAACCATTTTTATTTCACTTGTATATAATGAATATTATGCTTGAATTTAATTGCACTAATTAAGTTTAACAAGCTAAATTTGACTTGCATATGCTTAATATGTTTAATCAGCTAATTTCTTGCTCAATTTAACTTAATATCCAATTATATACTAAACAAAATGTTTAAAATGCTAAATTTAACTTACATATGCTTAATATCATGTTTTATTTCAAAACTTAACCCTATATTGCTAAAACCATTATCATTGGCAAGCTCGGTGACACAAAATGCTACTGGGTTCTTTGCTGAAGTAAAGCCTACATGTTTTCAAGGATTATATTTTCAATGACTTTTTTGGCCCAATAATTATCTTTTATCAAAATATTTTCTTTTGGAAATTAAGTTCTCCTCATCATATTTATATGCTAAAATACATTTTTAAAGATATTTAAAACGCTTGATTTTTATAATCAGTTTCCACACTACAAAAAATCAACTCAAATAAAAAGTGAAATTTTTCGGTGCTCTTTGATAATTTATACATGTATGTATGTGTGTGTATGCACATACATTACTGAATCCAGTCCGGATAACAGTACCAATTTTTTTCATACATGTCTTTTTGCAGACTTCATAAATTCCTTAAAACATATATCTAATAATCTTGACATTTTTATTATTCAGTATTATTTTTTCCCCTAATGGTGAGCCCTCCACCGACATCAGCTTGGCCATTACTAAGGGCAGAAGTAGTAGTCACTTTGTTGTGAAGGCACCAAATAGGTCGGCCACCTTTGCCTCCTACGAAAAAACAGTTACAACTATGCCTTCTCCGAGATTCGAATCTAGGCCCTTCAGTATTGCAGTCGGCTACCCTAACCATTATAACGTATCAGCAGCTACCTAGCGGTATACTTCTGATTATACAGAATACCTATATTACCCTGTGGAGGAACACTAACAACTAACATCTGGGTAAATCCTAAATACAGATAACACATTGAATGAGAGACTAGAGACTTTTGATTAGGGTCCTTTATATTAAAGAAAGAAATTGACCACGAATCTAAAAAATTTAAAGTACTTTATTGCCGAATATATACTACTTGATTTCTTAAGTAACTGAAGAATTTGTCGATTAGATTCAATATCCACTTATATTCCTAATTTTAATGATGCTAAGTTTCACACGTACTGATAATATATGAGTAAGCTAGACACAAAGAAAAAAGTCCATATTATATTTTTGATCCTTGCCTAAAACAGGGATTGTTATAACAAGAAATCCTTTCTAGATACCACCTATCGCATTCTTAATTAATTATTAAGAAGTAATTATTCTTAATTATTCAATGTAATTCTGCTTAATACAAGACATTCAAATTCAAGAAGAGATTTCTTAACTATGATAAATACGATAAATAAAAGTACTTACTGGAGCTGACATTTTCCGCGCAAGACCTGAGTGGGGAAAAAACTGTGAGTATTTATTTGGAAAAATAAATATAAAACTGAGAAAAAATAAAAATCAATATACACATATGTGCAAATTCAAGATCAGCCTATAATGAATAAAGAGTTTCTTCTACAGATCCCTCAAAATATCCCACCATCACGTGACGATTCCAAAAATTATTTACACATTAATGTTTCTCTACACTATAATCCTTAACAAAAGGCGCAAGATTAGCTCGTATGATGAAGAGAAACCAGAGCATGACATAACAAATTGGCTCCTTATTTTAAAAAAAACATGAGAACGTGCTACTAAAAACACTTAACTACTTAGGAAGATTAAAAAACATCTCAGAAACATAGATGAAGATCAAATCAGTATATTAAAAAAAGACGGTCGCTATATGAATAAAATGGCTGCCATTAGGATAAAAAAAAGAAAGAAAGAAATGCAAGGCTTAATAACTTTTTCAATTGAGAGAAAAGCAAATTAAACTCAATCAACAACAAAAACATTAAATTAGCTTCTAGATATACTTATAAACCTCAACATAAATATAAACTTACCTTTCGTGTCGAAATACTGACAAAATGGCAAAACTTTACCTCACACACGCAAACGCTGCGATCCAACTACGCAAAATTGTTGCCGGCAGGTCTAGTTGCCAAAAGTAATTCAAATAATACAACATATTCATTTGTTGGGGCCGGCTCTAATTTCATTCACAAGCTAGAATGGCCATGATTATTCTGAAAAATGAAAAGCATTTTAGATGATTTAAAGTAGAAACAAATTAACATTTAAGAACAAAATTCTGAATGTTCTCCGAAGAATATCCTAATATTAAGTCAGATTAAATGAATAATGTGATGTTCCAACACCATGAGTCGCTGTTTCGGTTTTATTCCAAACACGGAGTCCATATGCACCTTCTTAGGAAACATTGAATGAAAGGAACGATTCAATTGTATGTAAATAGTGCTTTATAGAAATAAATTTTCGCGTAATTTTATGGCACAGGCGCATTTTAAAAGCTGCTTTGATTTTCGAAAATATGCCCACCCCAGATAAAGAATTTAGAGAGGGCCTAAAATTATTGGAAATTTAAGCTAATAGAAAAACAGTTGAAAACTTATATGTATATCGAAGAGCATGTTTTTGCTTTATACATATATACGCTTTATTCATGTTTTTGCTTTGCTAATTATATAATATTTGTTTTAAACAATTAAAAAAACTCAATGGCGCAACAGCCCTTTAGTGAGCCATCGCCTGCAGTGCCCTTATATCTGTTTTCCAGACCGTGGGCCCACTCTGCATGCATACTCACAAAGCCTACAGACCGTTTCTTCTACTGTTTGCTCCAATTGGTGAAAACAGGAAACGTAGGGAACGTTACAGAGTCTTGTACTTGGCGACTTTTGCTTCATCGCCTATACGACTTGTATATCAGTCTGATGTACCGAAAAGTGTGCGAAAGGCAACGGCGAAACCGCAGCTTAACGGTTATCAGGTTCAGTGTTTCTCCTTACTTGCTTTGGGAACATTCAAGAACCTGACTCGGAACAGGGAGCTTACTAAAGCTATGTTCAATAAATGTGGGAAGTAGACAAGATACACAGGAAGGGTATACGAAACCCTTTATTTTTCACTCTTTACAATAATTTCCGTACTTCGGAATACAGAGACCAACCACTTGTGGTCTGAACGTAAGAATATAAAAATATTAACTAAACTCTAACTTAACTTTGGAATAATAAACAAGGGACTACGTGGAAGATTGGCCCTATATTAACAGGAAGCCGTATGTAGTACAGAGAACTGTGTAACACTACATACGTTTAAATTATCAAGAGGATTAAACCTCTGGCCTGGAAGGCAAACCAGCAACCGAGTAAAAACTGCTAAGGAAAGCGGCCTGTTTCTACTAACTCCTTCCTCTTCTCTCGCTTGGCAAAAAGCCACAACTAAGGTACTTGGCGTTCGCCAGACAAATTTGCATAAATAAGTTAAAGCTTTTAATTCTGGCCGGAACTAGAAAATAAGTGATAGTAAAGATTTAAAATAAAATAAACGTTAGTAAAACTTAAGATCCTTACATACTTCCCGACAGAGTTAATTAGTTTGAAACTGAGGTCTAAAACGACCTTGTTGAAAACTTTTAGCACTAGAATCTAGCGCGAGGCCAATCTTTTACAAACATTTTTACTAGAAACTAGAAATTTAAAAAAAGAAATTTGTTTTTACAATTAGCAGCTCCATGGACACAATTTTTTCATCTGTACTGCATCTAAACAGGAGCTTTTATTCAAATCTGGTTCCTTCCAGAGATCTGGAAGGAAGGAAAACTAGTTTAATGAAATGTTACACAATGAAATGGCAAGTAACATGAATATTATATTTCTCTTAACATTCTTATTTCATTCATGACTATTTTAATTATCTCTCCCCGTGCTCTCTGACATGTGTTGTAAAAGAACACCAAACACGAATGTGTTTATGTCTACGTGTTCAACACTGCCCTCCTACAATCAAAACACTAACGTGTTTAAAATTCAACATAACAAGACCTCGTAACACACCCTAATCTTCAATCTCTAAACCCTGAGGTACTATTCTGAAAGTGGCTAACTCTGAAGTGTAGCGTCAGAGAGCCTAACTACATTCATTCAACCTTTAACACATATTCACCATAATTTAATCTTTTTACAGTCACACGAATAAGTTTAAAATTTTTAACATTACTTTCACTTTTACCATATCACGGTATTTCTTAACATTTAAAATAACAGTTCACATTGTATATAAGAACATATTAACATGCCGTTAATTTTACGCATTTGAAAACATACATTAGTAGTACATTGTTAACTTCTATTCTTTTCCAAGCAAGTGCCAATTCTTTCTACATTGAAATACTACATTTCAAAAAGTCTTTCAGACTAAAACTTCTTTCTTGCCAGAATGTTTTAAATAAAATTTATACAATAACTTTTACAATATTTAAGTCTTTACACAACGCTATTATACATCAACTTTAGTTTTACGCGCGAGTAATTGAAAAACATAATACCAAAATCGGTCACAACTCATTTCTCGCCCTTTTGGCGATAAAGGTAGACCTCGCATGAGGTAAAACTTCTTGAAATCTGCCACTTGCAGTAAGAATGAAAGATTAACTTAAGTTTGCAAAGTAACATAAAATTTTACTTATCTTTGTGATATTCGGACATCCTTTTCTGCTGCCCAGTCCTGGAAAGGTAGCGAAGACTACCGTGTTTGGATTTATCCTCCCTTCTTGTGCGGGCTCGCCCTTCAGTTCCTTCCTCCCTAGGAAGCTTTCTTTTTCCCTCCAGTTCGGTCACCCTTGAAGACCTTCTTCTTTTTCATCGCCTCTGCCTGTCAAACGGGTCTTGGCCGTTTGATGGCAGCTGGTCTTGGCGGAACCGGGACAACTTCTCTCTCGTTCCTGCTTGGATCTCGTTGCTGGCCGTTCAAATTTTCCTTGCTTCTTTGCATCTGCCAGCTGGTTTTCCTTCCGCAATTCGGTCGACATTTGCTGCGTAGAGTCCTGTCGGATGAGTAGATCTTCCGTTTTAGAGCCGGGTTATAGTTTGCCGTCATTTCTCCTGGCTCTCTTTGCATTCGTCGTCCTTCTCCCTTCTTCATTCTGGGGGGTTCGTGCTCTCTTTTCTGGACGGTGTGAACGGCTTCTTTTCTTGTTACCTTCAATTTTCCGCGGGGAAACTTTCTTTTCACTTGCTCCTGCCTCTTAATGGCTTGCCCTTGTACTTGTCGTTTTTCCACCTCTGGAGCTTGTGCCTGCGGTGTCTGCCGTGCCGGATCCTGCAAAAGATCTTTAAAAGATTTGCATTTTATTACGATCATAGTATTGGTTTGAACATTTTGGCTTTACTACAGCGTGAGTTATTTTTTATAAATGAATGATTCCTTCTATCTCTGGTGCTGAAGAAAGTACTTTTTATAAGTTATAAGTTACTCCCCGTCGTTTCAAGTCATAATAATTTTGTTTTCTCTGTGCTACTTCAGTGTATTCTTTTTTTGCTTTCTTTAATTATTTTTCTATATCACCCATTTTAAATTCTGGGGCTCTTTGTTGCAACATAAAATTTATCTAACGGTGTTATAATCTTTCTGCCTAAAAATAACTCAGCAGGAGTTTTGCCCGTTTGTATCATGTTTTGCGGTCCTAAGGGCGAAAGCAAATTCATTGACATAGTTATCCCAGCTTTTATGAAAATTTTTAACATAACTACGGATAATTTTCACTATATTTCTGTTGACCCGTTCCGCTATATTTGATTGCGGCCGATACGGGACCATTTTTAAATGACGTATGCCCAGTTTTTGGCACATGTCTTCAAATATATTACTTACAAATTGAGGACCATTATCCGATATAAACTTTTAGGGGCGCCCCGTATTTTAAAATATATTTATTTAAAATAGAATCAGTAAACTAATTTCGCGGAGGCTCGTTTTAAGGAACAATTTCGGTCCATTACTAAAATGATCAACCATAACAAGGAGATAGCGACTTTTATTTAACTGACTTTTGGGAAAGGGCCCAATAAATCGATGCCAATTATTTCATTTGGAAAATTCGGATTTAATACTATTTAGAAACCCGGCCGGGCGGAAATTAATATAATTAACTGCTTGACATGTTGGGCAGGACTGGACATACGCCCTTGTTAACTTTTGCAGTTCAGGAAAATAGACTGCCTCGCGTACGCGTTGAGAGTTTTTCGAATACCAGCATGAGAAGCTAAAGGGCTGTCATGGAGCTCCTGCAGGATATTTAATCTAAGACTAGCTGGGATAACAGGTCGAAATTCGTTGTTGGAATTCGTAGTTTTTGTATAAAATAATAGACCATCTATTAGTTCGTAATGGGGCCGCCCTATTTCTTATCGCCACAATATCTTGGTGGCTAAAATTTTCAGGATCCTTAAATACTCATAAATGCTTCCAAACTCAGGATCCTTACCCAGTTCGGTTATTACAGTTTCTCGGGAAATTATTGTACATGCTGTGAGCATTGCCACCTTTACAGTATTACCTTCTTCATCTATTTTTATTCTGGATAGGGCATCTGCTACGATATTTTCCTTTCCTTCGGGGTATGCTTGATTACCAGATTATATTCTTGTAAGCTTGAGTGCCCATCTTATTAACCTTGGGGATAAAGTTTTTTCCCTGAGTACAATCTAGTTACCGCCGCATGATCAGAATACACTGTTATTGGCGCCTTTCCAAAATAGACTCGGAACTTTTGCACTGCTAACAGAACTGCAAGTGCCTCTCTCTCGGTCGCGGAATAGTTTCTTTGTGTTTGATTTTAAAGTTCGGCTAAAAAATGCCACGGGCTGCTGATTTTGCGAAAGTACCGCTCCTACCGCATAATCCGAAGCATCCGCTTGAAATTTCTAAATTTCATCCTTTTCAGGAAATTTCAACACAGGGGCTTGCGTTAATGCTTGTTTTAATTTTTCGAAAGCACTATTGGCTTCGGCCGTCCACGAGAATCTTGCCTTTTTCCTTTTTAATTTTAACAATGGCTCAGCAATAGCCTGCAAAATCTTTTATAAAGGACCTATAATATGAACAAGTCCTAGAAAGAAGAGAGCTTCTTCGCGTGTTTGGAGTCGGATACTTTTGTACAGC